AATAAATTTTTTGTATTTTTTACCATTAGCACATATTGACTTATTAGGAAAAAAGTATAATTAAATTATATTTTATGACTTCTCTGAGTAGTCTCTTAGACCTTAACCCTCACGACTTGTGTGTGCACACTGCACTACGTAGGCGAGCTTTTTAGCTAACCGACATTAACAATAATAGCAAACAAGTCTCCGAAATGTTATATGCGAATTTTATAATATTTATCTCAAACAAATAAGTAAACATGTGTCACGGCTAAGTGAAAAATAATTAAAAAAAAAAATAAATAAATAAAATAAAGAATTAAAATATTATATAAATTTTAATTTTGGAGTAAAGATTCATAAAAAATTTTTAAACAAAATTATTTAAATTTAAATTAGCTCGATGCCAGCTTAATTTATGTTTTTTGGCTATTTTTGAAGTGACAGGGAGTATTACACAGCCGTCAACACCCCACTCTATCCGGATTCTATCATCCTAAAACAGTCTAACATTACGTTTATCAGGTAGTTGTTTATACAGCTGCACTTTTGAACTAATTTTATTACATTTCTTAAGAAAGACTTCAATCCCTCTCGCTTTCTCGCCCTCTCTGTACCGCTTTCTCCTACACTTATCCTTCATGGACTTTAAGCTAATTCCCATCCTTGTATTGCTGTTGGCATTTATGCGAATGGCTTTCCAAATAGGCAAATAAGTACTTTGTAAGTAATTTGGACGCCAGATGGAAGAAAGGGGGGGTGGGATGGGGTTGGGGCTGGGTGGCATTCTGTTTAGGGTGCACATCGACAGACAGTCATAAAAATAAGTCAAGAGACAGACTTCGCGGACTGTTCGCAGTCAGATGCTAAACAAAACGCGAGGCAGCAAAAGGCCCACAATCCAAAAAGTTGAAAAACTTTTGTTTTGTTTTATTCGGTTGCGGGGTTATAAAATGAAACGAATGTAGACAAAAAGTTTGCGCCGTTTGAAAAGTCGGCAAATACGCGTACCCGACACGCCCATTGACGTCGCATCCGCCCCCTCTGGTAGCAGGCAGTCGCGCACAGTGGGACAGCAACAATTTGTTTCTAATAGGGGAACTGAAAAAATTAATTCAATAAAATAAATAAGTTTCGTTTCTTATTTGTGCGAAGCTAAGGATTATCCATATAAAATCGATCGAATATGTTTGTACTAATGGGAACTTTGGTCCCACTGTCATCTGACAATTCGAATGCGGCCGGAAACAATAAAAACGCCAGTCACACAATGTGCGCTGCATAAAAACTGCTTATTACGCCGTATAGTAGACAACGGAATTTTTTTTTTTTTTTTTTTTTTTTTTTTTATTCAGCTTTTGGGGCTTCAACAACAATTGAAATAAATGAATTTGGCTAAAGGATTGCGGGAGGAGCGCACATAAATTGGCATATTACAATGCCAAGTGGGGTAGAATTTAAAAATCTGAATCAGAGCACTCTCAACATCATATTCAGCATGTTCTGTTGCTAAATTAAAATAAAATTTTTTCGAAAGTCAACGAATTGTTCATCTCTAGCCTAAGCCGCAAAGGGCACAGCGCGTTAGCCTAATTAACTTGTACAAAAAAAGGTGCGTATGCAGTTAGACGGAAATCCACTTAGTGATAGCGGGATTAYACACACACACACACAACAGCACTTAAAAGTAAGCCAATTTCATGCGTCGGCGTATCCCTGGCAGAATAGTTCCCAAAAAATGACTAAAATAACTGGCACCTATTTCAAACTCAATTAAACACGGTCCCAACCATTTTGAGCAGCAGCCCAGGCTTCAGGCTCTCTGCTCGTCCTTGTATAAGTGGCTTACGTGGACACAGCTGTTTTTAATACGTGTGAGTGTGTTTGTGTGTGCGAGTGTGTGTGCATGCCTCTAGTGTTGACAACCCTTTTCTGCCTTTTTGGATTAGCCTTGTTGTTATTTTATTTGTGTCCTCTTGTCTCCATTTTGTTGATTTATTCTTTTAATTGGAGTTCTACGATTTCGAATACAGATATGCTTTATATAGGATCTATTACAAATAATCACTAATTTTGCTAACTCTTAAGGTGAAAGTCAATTTATTTTTGCATTAGAAATATGTGTTATAGCATTATATCTCCTTATCTCACTTTTCTATATAGACTCCGCTTACAGCGTCCGTACGAACTTGTAGGGTTATAGTGTCCTCCGGATATAGCGACGGTCCCTTGAGTGTCGCTATAACCGGATTCTACTGTGGAGCTTTTGACACTTGTCTACTTGTATCTTATCTCATCTCGTGTAGGATCTATCGGCCCTACTAACAATGTCCTGCACTTGGCAACGAGTCTATTAGAGTTGAGCTTAGTTCAACTGGTGGCAACTAAATAAATTTAAAGCAGCTTTCAAAATTAGTTTGCTTATTCACACAGTTCCCATATATACGCACGTATACACTCACTCATACACAGGTACACACGTGTGTACCTTTTTTTTTTTTTTTTTGTAGACGTGCATGGGTCGTTCGCAAGACTTTACATATTTGCCTTTGAATTGGGCAACTGACCCGCATATGACCACGCATAATTAGACCATTTTTGGGGCTCGTATTGGGGCTACCAAATATTTGTGCGGCAAATTGATTTCGTTTGGGCCTGTTGTTTTGGGCGTATTTCGGGTTACTTTCGCACCACACTTCAACGTGTTGATCCTGTTTATGTTTCTTAAATGCTAATATTGCTAATGATATGTAAAAAGCAATTTCGGTGCCCTTGGGAATACCAAGTATCTGAGGGCAGTGCAGCCCTTCTGATGGTGTGTGCGAAAGGGAAATTTCATCCCGTCTCATTCAGCTAAAAATAGAATATATCAATTAATTTCTACATAAGTTTGTATAAAGCTAAAGGCAAGGATAGCTTGATAGCTATAGAAAGATGCTAAATGAATTTGTGTAAGCGACGTCCTTATTACCGAGTGATCACTGTAGCTGCTAGCATTTATGAGTTCTGCCGTGCAATGGCTGCAATTCCACGTA